CTGTATTCAAGCCACTGCATGGAAATCCGGCCTCCTTTCAAGTTAGGGCTTCTCGCTGTATATTCCCCTTGAGGCAGCAAACTCGGGGTCCCTCCCACATACCTATTACTGAGAGAAGCCTCCTCCTGAGGTGCTTCTGGAAAGGTGGCATACGTCTTGAGCCTAAGCCAGGGAATCAGCTCTCATCTCGAGACGATTTGGGGTACACAGAGCATTCCTCGAGTTGCTGTGCTGAAGTTCGTGGTCCTCTAGACTTGGGACAGTGTTCTCGGGGCATCTCTGGAGTTGCCTGAAGGAAGTCGAGCCACCGGTCGTGTTGAATGGGGAACAAGGAATGGCTCTGGAGTCAATGCAGGGGAATCCGGCCTCATCTCGAGTTGATTTGGGGCACATGGAGCTGCTTTGCATTGCTGGGTGACCTCAGGGTCCGTCTAGACTGGTGACAGTGTTCTTGGGGACTGTCTCGAGATCCATTAAGCAAGTCGAAGCTCCTGACTTGTTTGAATGGGATCACGGAATAGCTCTGCATGCACTGCAGGGGAATGGGGCCTCATCTCGCCTCTAGGGGGAAGTCTCATGGTTTTTCTCGAGTTGCGGCGGGGACCTGGGATATGTTCTCGACTTACGGCGGGGATGGCCCTTCAAAACACGAGTTTCTTCAGTGACGTCAGGACTCCTGCCTAGTAACGAGGGACACCTCAGGAATCTCTTCGAGGCTTGGCAGGGCAAAAGGGACGCTTCTCGAGGTGAGCCAGGGCACCCAAGGACCCTTTCCAGTAGCCACAGGGATTTTGGGATTCCTATAAGTAATCAAGAGGAGTCATGCATCGTCACCTTTTGAAGCAATGAACTCCGCGTGCCTCTCGAGGTGTCAGCGGGATGTGAGGCATTCCGTCAAAATGAGGCAGGGACCTAGGGCTTTCTCTAAGGTCTCCACAGGGGATTCAGACATCCCTTCATGTTGTGAGATGAAAGACAAGCCTGTATTCAAGCTACTGCAAGGAAATCCGGCCTCCTTTCAAGTTAGGGCTTCTCACTGTATATTGCCCTTGAGGCAGCAAACTCGGAGTCCCTCCCACATACCTATTGCTGAGAAGCCTCCTCCTGAGGTGCTTCTGGAAAGTTGGCATACGTCTTGAGCCTAAGCCAGGGAATCAGCTCTCATCTCGAGACGATTTGGGGTACACAGATCATTCCTCGAGTTGCTGTGCTGAAGTTGGTGTTCCTCTAGACTTGGGACAGTGTTCTCGGGGCATCTCTGGAGTTGCCTGAAGGAAGTCGAGCCACCGGTCGTGTTGAATGGGGAACGGGGAATGGCTCTGGAGTCAATGCAGGGGAATCGGGCCTCATCTCGAGTTGATTTGTGGCACCTGGAGCTGCTTTGCGTTGCTGGGGTGACCTCAGGTTCCGTCTAGACTGGTGACAGTGTTCTTGGGGACTGCCTCGAGATCCATTAAGCAAGTCGAAGCTCCTGACTTGTTTGAATGGGATCACGGAATAGCTCTGCATGCACTGCAGGGGAATGGGGACTCATCTCGCCTCTAGGGGGAAGTCTCATGGTTTTTCTCGAGTTGCGGCGGGGACCTGGGGTATGTTCTCGACTTAAGGCGGGGATGGCCCTTCAAAACACGAGTTTCTTCCGTGACGTCAGGACTCCTGTCTAGTAACGAGGGACACCTCAGCAATCTCTTCGAGGCTTGGCAGGGCAAAAGGGACGCTTCTCGAGGTGAGCCAGGGCACCCAAGGACCCTTTCCAGTAGCAACAGGGATTTTGGGATTCCTATCAGTATTCAAGAGGAGTCAGGCATCGTCACCTTTTGAAGCAATGAACTCCGCGTGCCTCTCGACGTGTCAGCGGGATGTGAGGATTCCGTCAAAATGAGGCAGGGACCTAGGGCTTTCTCTAAGGTCTCCACAGGGGATTCAGACATCCCTTCATGTTGTGAGATGAAAGACGAGCCTGTATTCAAGCCACTGCATGGAAATCCGGCCTCCTTTCAAGTTAGGGCTTCTCGCTGTATATTCCCCTTGAGGCAGCAAACTCGGGGTCCCTCCCACATACCTATTACTGAGAGAAGCCTCCTCCTGAGGTGCTTCTGTAAAGGTGGCATACGTCTTGAGCCTAAGCCAGGGAATCAGCTCTCATCTCGAGACGATTTGGGGTACACAGATCATTCCTCGAGTTGCTGTGCTGAAGTTGGTGGTCCTCTAGACTTGGGACAGTGTTCTCGGGGCATCTCTGGAGTTGCCTGAAGGAAGTCGAGCCACCGGTCGTGTTGAATGGGGAACAAGGAATGGCTCTGGAGTCAATGCAGGGGAATCCGGCCTCATCTCGAGTTGATTTGGGGCACATGGAGCGGCTTTGCATTGCTGGGTGACCTCAGGGTCCGTCTAGACTGGTGACAGTGTTCTTGGGGACTGCCTCGAGATCCATTAAGCAAGTCGAAGCTCCTGACTTGTTTGAATGGGATCACGGAATAGCTCTGCATGCACTGCAGGGGAATGGGGCCTCATCTCGCCTCTAGGGGGAAGTCTCATGGTTTTTCTCGAGTTGCGGCAGGGACCTGGGGTATGTTCTCGACGTACGGCGGGGATGGCCCTTCAAAATACGAGTTTCTTCAGTGACGTCAGGACTCCTGTCTAGTAACGAGGGACACCTCAGCAATCTCTTCGAGGCTTGGCAGGGCAAAAGGGACGCTTCTCGAGGTGAGCCAGGGCACCCAAGGACCGTTTCCAGTAGCCACAGGGATTTTGGGATTCCTATAAGTAATCAAGAGGAGTCATGCATCGTCACCTTTTGAAGCAATGAACTCCCCGTGCCTCTCGAGGTGTCAGCGGGATGTGAGGCATTCCGTCAAATGAGGCAGGGACCTAGGGCTTTCTCTAAGGTCTCCACAGGGGATTCAGACATCCCTTCATGTTGTGAGATGAAAGACAAGCCTGTATTCAAGCTACTGCAAGGAAATCCGGCCTCCTTTCAAGTTAGGGCTTCTCGCTGTATATTGCCCTTGAGGCAGCAAACTCGGAGTCCCTCCCACATACCTATTGCTGAGAAGCCTCCTCCTGAGGTGCTTCTGGAAAGGTGGCATACGTCTTGAGCCTAAGCCAGGGAATCAGCTCTCATCTCGAGACGATTTGGGGTACACGGAGCATTCCTCGAGTTGCTATGCCGAAGTTGGTGGTCCACTAGACTTGGGACAGTGTTCTCGGGTCATCTCTGGAGTTGCCTGAAGGAAGTCGAGCCACCGGTCGTGTTGAATGGGGAACAAGAAATGGCTCTGGAGTCAATGCAGGGGAATCCGGCCTCATCTCGAGTTGATTTGGGGCACATGGAGCTGCTTTGCATTGCTGGTTGACCTCAGGGTCCGTCTAGACTGGTGACAGTGTTCTTGGGGACTGTCTCGATATCCATTAAGCAAGTCGAAGCTCCTGACTTGTTTGAATGGGATCAGGGAATAGCTCTGCATGCACTGCAGGGGAATGGGGCCTCATCTCGCCTCTAGGGGGAAGTCTCATGGTTTTTCTCGAGTTGCGGCGGGGACCTGGGGTATATTCTCGACTTACGGCGGGGATGGCCCTTCAAAACACGAGTTTCTTCAGTGACGTCAGGACTCCTGTCTAGTAACGAGGGACACCTCAGCAATCTCTTCGAGGCTTGGCAGGGCAAAAGGGACGCTTCTCGAGGTGAGCCAGGGCACCCAAGGACCCTTTCCAGTAGCCACAGGGATTTTGGGATTCCTATAAGTAATCAAGAGGAGTCATGCATCGTCACCTTTTGAAGCAATGAACTCCGCGTGCCTCTCGACGTGTCAGCGGGATGTGAGGATTCCATCAAAATGAGGCAGGGACCTAGGGCTTTCTCTAAGGTCTCCACAGGGGAATCAGACATCCCTTCATGTTGTGAGATGAAAGACGAGCCTGTATTCAAGCCACTGCATGGAAATCCGGCCTCCTTTCAAGTTAGGGCTTCTCGCTGTATATTCCCCTTGAGGCAGCAAACTCGGGGTCCCTCCCACATACCTATTACTGAGAGAAGCCTCCTCCTGAGGTGCTTCTGGAAAGGTGGCATACGTCTTGAGCCTAAGCCAGGGAATCAGCTCTCATCTCGAGACGATTTGGGGTACACAGAGCATTCCTCGAGTTGCTGTGCTGAAGTTGGTGGTCCTCTAGACTTGGGACAGTGTTCTCGGGGCATCTCTGGAGTTGCCTGAAGGAAGTCGAGCCACCGGTCGTGTTGAATGGGGAACAAGGAATGGCTCTGGAGTCAATGCAGGGGAATCCGGCCTCATCTCGAGTTGATTTGGGGCACATGGAGTTGCTTTGCATTGCTGGGTGACCTCAGGGTCCGTCTAGACTGGTGACAGTGTTCTTGGGGACTGTCTCGAGATCCATTAAGCAAGTCGAAGCTCCTGACTTGTTTGAATGGGATCACGGAATAGCTCTGCATGCACTGCAGGGGAATGGGGCCTCATCTCGCCTCTAGGGGGAAGTCTCATGGTTTTTCTCGAGTTGCGGCGGGGACCTGGGATATGTTCTCGACTTACGGCGGGGATGGCCCTTCAAAACACGAGTTTCTTCAGTGACGTCAGGACTCCTGCCTAGTAACGAGGGACACCTCAGGAATCTCTTCGAGGCTTGGCAGGGCAAAAGGGACGCTTCTCGAGGTGAGCCAGGGCACCCAAGGACCCTTTCCAGTAGCCACAGGGATTTTGGGATTCCTATAAGTAATCAAGAGGAGTCATGCATCGTCACCTTTTGAAGCAATGAACTCCGCGTGCCTCTCGACGTGTCAGCGGGATGTGAGGATTCCGTCAAAATGAGGCAAGGACCTAGGGCTTTCTCTAAGGTCTCCACAGGGGATTCAGACATCCCTTCATGTTGTGAGATGAAAGACGAGCCTGTATTCAAGCCACTGCAAGGAAATCCGGCCCCCTTTCAAGTTAGGGCTTCTCGCTGTATATTCCCCTTGAGGCAGCAAACTCGGGGTCCCACCCACATACCTATTGCTGAGAGAAGCCTCCTCCTGAGGTGCTTCTGGAAAGGTGGCATACGTCTTGAGCCTAAGCCAGGGAATCAGCTCTCATCTCGAGACGATTTGGGGTACACAGAGCATTCCTCGAGTTGCTGTGCTGAAGTTGGTGGTCCTCTAGACTTGGGACAGTGTTCTCGGGGCATCTCTGGAGTTGCCTGAAGGAAGTCGAGCGACCGGTCGTGTTGAATGGGGAACAAGGAATGGCTCTGGAGTCAATGCAGGGGAATCCGGCCTCATCTCGAGTTGATTTGGGGCACATGGAGCTGCTTGGCATTGCTGGGTGACCTCAGGGTCCGTCTAGACTGGTGACAGTGTTCTTGGGGACTGTCTCGAGATCCATTAAGCAAGTCGAAGCTCCTGACTTGTTTGAATGGGATCACGGAATAGCTCTGCATGCACTGCAGGGGAATGGGGCCTCATCTCGCCTCTAGGGGGAAGTCTCATGGTTTTTCTCGAGTTGCGGCGGGGACCTGGGGTATGTTCTCGACTTACGGCGGGGATGGCCCTTCAAAACACGAGTTTCTTCAGTGACGTCAGGACTCCTGTCTAGTAACGAGGGACACATCAGCAATCTCTTCGAGGCTTGGCAGGGCAAAAGGGACGCTTCTCGAGGTGAGCCAGGGCACCCAAGGACCCTTTCCAGTAGCCACAGGGATTTTGGGATTCCTATCAGTATTCAAGAGGAGTCAGGCATCGTCACCTTTTGAAGCAATATACTCCGCGTGCCTCTCAAGTTGTCAGCGGGATGTGAGGCATTCCGTCAAAATGAGGCAGGGACCTAGGGCTTTCTCTGAGGTCTTCACAGGAGATTCAGACATCCCTTCATGTTGTGAGATGAAAGACGAGCCTGTATTCAAGCCACTGCAAGGAAATCCGGCCTCCTTTCAAGTTAGGGCTTCTCGCTGTATATTCCCCTTGAGGCAGCAAATTCGGGGTCCCTCCCACATACCTATTGCTGAGAGAAGCCTCCTCCTGAGGTGCTTCTGGAAAGGTGGCATACGTCTTGAGCCTAAGCCAGGGAATCAGCTCTCATCTCGAGACGATTTGGGGTACACAGAGCATTCCTCGAGTTGCTGTGCTGAAGTTGGTGTTCCTCTAGACTTGGGACAGTGTTCTCTGGGCATCTCTGGAGTTGAATGAAGGAAGTCGAGCCACCGGTCGTGTTGAATGGGGAACGGGGAATGGCTCTGGAGTCAATGCAGGGGAATCGGGCCTCATCTCGAGTTGATTTGTGGCACCTGGAGCTGCTTTGCGTTGCTGGGGTGACCTCAGGGTCCATCTAGACTGGTGACAGTGTTCTTGGGGACTGCCTCGAGATCCATTAAGCAAGTCGAAGCTCCTGACTTGTTTGAATGGGATCACGGAATAGCTCTGCATGCACTGCAGGGGAATGGGGCCTCATCTCGCCTCTAGGGTTAAGTCTCATGGTTTTTCTCGAGTTGCGGCGGGGACCTGGTGTATGTTCTCGACTTACGGCGGGGATGGCCCTTCAAAACACGAGTTTCTTCAGTGACGTGAGGACTCCTGCCTAGTAACGAGGGACACCTCAGCAATCTCTTCGAGGCTTGGCAGGGCAAAAGGGACGCTTCTCGAGGTGAGCCAGGGCACCCAAGGACCCTTTCCAGTAGCCACAGGGATTTTGGGATTCCTATAAGTAATCAAGAGGAGTCATGCATCGTCACCTTTTGAAGCAATGAACTCCGCGTGCCTCTCGACGTGTCAGCGGGATGTGAGGATTCCGTCAAAATGAGGCAGGGACCTAGGGCTTTCTCTAAGGTCTCCACAGGGGATTCAGACATCCCTTCATGTTGTGAGATGAAAGACGAGCCTGTATTCAAGCCACTGCATGGAAATCCGGCCTCCTTTCAAGTTAGGGCTTCTCGCTGTATATTCCCCTTGAGGCAGCAAACTCGGGGTCCCTCCCACATACCTATTACTGAGAGAAGCCTCCTCCTGAGGTGCTTCTGGAAAGGTGGCATACGTCTTGAGCCTAAGCCAGGGAATCAGCTCTCATCTCGAGACGATTTGGGGTACACAGAGCATTCCTCGAGTTGCTGTGCTGAAGTTGGTGGTCCTCTAGACTTGGGACAGTGTTCTCGGGGCATCTCTGGAGTTGCCTGAAGGAAGTCGAGCCACCGGTCGTGTTGAATGGGGAACAAGGAATGGCTCTGGAGTCAATGCAGGGGAATCCGGCCTCATCTCGAGTTGATTTGGGGCACATGGAGCTGCTTTGCATTGCTGGGTGACCTCAGGGTCCGTCTAGACTGGTGACAGTGTTCTTGGGGACTGTCTCGAGATCCATTAAGCAAGTCGAAGCTCCTGACTTGTTTGAATGGGATCACGGAATAGCTCTGCATGCACTGCAGGGGAATGGGGCCTCATCTCGCCTCTAGGGGGAAGTCTCATGGTTTTTCTCGAGTTGCGGCGGGGACCTGGGGTATGTTCTCGACTTACGGCGGGGATGGCCCTTCAAAATACGAGTTTCTTCAGTGACGTCAGGACTCCTGCCTAGTAACGAGGGACACCTCAGGAATCTCGTCGAGGCTTGGCAGGGCAAAAGGGACGCTTCTCGAGGTGAGCCAGGGCACCCAAGGACCCTTGCCAGTAGCCACAGGGATTTTCGGATTCCTATAAGTAATCAAGAGGAGTCATGCATCGTCACCTTTTGAAGCAATGAACTCCGCGTGCCTCTCGAGGTGTCAGCGGGATGTGAGGCATTCCGTCAAAATGAGGCAGGGACCTAGGGCTTTCTCTAAGGTCTCCACAGGGGATTCAGACATCCCTTCATGTTGTGAGATGAAAGACAAGCCTGTATTCAAGCTACTGCAAGGAAATCCGGCCTCCTTTCAAGTTAGGGCTTCTCGCTGTATATTGCCCTTGAGGCAGCAAACTCGGAGTCCCTCCCACATACCTATTGCTGAGAAGCCTCCTCCTGAGGTGCTTCTGGAAAGTTGGCATACGTCTTGAGCCTAAGCCAGGGAATCAGCTCTCATCTCGAGACGATTTGGGGTACACAGATCATTCCTCGAGTTGCTGTGCTGAAGTTGGTGTTACTCTAGACTTGGGACAGTGTTCTCGGGGCATCTCTGGAGTTGCCTGAAGGAAGGCGAGCCACCGGTCGTGTTGAATGGGGAACGGGGAATGGCTCTGGAGTCAATGCAGGGGAATCGGGCCTCATCTCGAGTTGATTTGTGGCACCTGGAGCTGCTTTGCGTTGCTGGGGTGACCTCAGGTTCCGTCTAGACTGGTGACAGTGTTCTTGGGGACTGCCTCGAGATCCATTAAGCAAGTCGAAGCTCCTGACTTGTTTGAATGGGATCACGGAATAGCTCTGCATGCACTGCAGGGGAATGGGGCCTCATCTCGCCTCTAGGGGGAAGTCTCATGGTTTTTCTCGAGTTGCGGCGGGGACCTGGGGTATGTTCTCGACTTACGGCGGGGATGGCCCTTCAAAACACGAGTTTCTTCAGTGACGTCAGGACTCCTGTCTAGTAACGAGGGACACATCAGCAATCTCTTCGAGGCTTGGCAGGGCAAAAGGGACGCTTCTCGAGGTGAGCCAGGGCACCCAAGGACCCTTTCCAGTAGCCAAAGGGATTTTGGGATTCCTATCAGTATTCAAGAGGAGTCAGGCATCGTCACCTTTTGAAACAATGTACTCCGCGTGCCTCTCGAGTTGTCAGCGGGATGTGAGGCATTCCGTCAAAATGAGGCAGGGACCTAGGGCTTTCTCTAAGGTCTTCACAGGGGATTCAGACATCCCTTCATGTTGTGAGATGAAAGACGAGCCTGTATTCAAGCCACTGCAAGGAAATCCGGCCTCCTTTCAAGTTAGGGCTTCTCGCTGTATATTCCCCTTGCGGCAGCAAACTCGGGGTCCCTCCCACATACATATTGCTGAGAAGCCTCCTCATGAGGTGCTTCTGGAAAGGTGGCATACGTCTTGAGCCTAAGCCAGGGAATCAGCTCTCATCTCGAGACGATTTGGGGTACATAGAGCATTCCTCGAGTTGCTGTGCTGAAGTTGGTGGTCCTCTAGACTTGGGACAGTGTTCTCGGGGCATCTCTGGAGTTGCCTGAAGGAAGTCGAGCCACCGGTCGTGTTGAATGGGGAACAAGGAATGGCTCTGGAGTCAATGCAGGGGAATCCGGCCTCATCTCGAGTTGATTTGGGGCACATGGAGCTGCTTTGCATTGCTGGGTGAACTCAGTGTCCGACTAGACTGGTGACAGTGTTCTTGGGGACTATCTCGATATCCATTAAGCAAGTCGAAGCTCCTGACTTGTTTGAATGGGATCACGGAATAGCTCTGCATGCACTGCAGGGGAATGGGGCCTCATCTCGCCTCTAGGGGGAAGTCTCATGGTTTTTCTCGAGTTGCGGCGGGGACCTGGGGTATGTTCTCGACTTACGGCGGGGATGGCCCTTCAAAACACGAGTTTCTTCCGTGACGTCAGGACTCCTGTCTAGTAACGAGGGACACCTCAGCAATCTCTTCGAGGCTTGGCAGGGAAAAAGGGACGCTTCTCGAGGTGAGCCAGGGCACCCAAGGACCCTTTCCAGTATCAACAGGGATTTTGGGATTCCTATCAGTATTCAAGAGGAGTCAGGCATCGTCACCTTTTGAAGCAATGAACTCCGCGTGCCTCTCGAGGTGTCAGCGGGATGTGAGGATTCCGTCAAAATGAGGCAGGGACCTAGGGCTTTCTCTAAGGTCTCCACAGGGGATTCAGATATCCCTTCATGTTGTGAGATGAAAGACGGGCCTGTATTCAAGCCACTGCAAGGAAATCCGGCCTCCTTTCAAGTTAGGGCTTCTCGCTGTATATTCCCCTTGAGGCAGCAAACTCGGAGTCCCTCCCACATACCTATTGTTGAGAGAAGACTCCTCCTGAGGTGCTTCTGGAAAGTTGGCATACGTCTTGAGCCTAAGCCAGGGAATCAGCTCTCATCTCGAGATGATTTGGGGTACACAGAGCATTCCTCGAGTTGCTGTGCTGAAGTTGGTGTTCCTCTAGACTTGGGACAGTGTTCTCTGGGCATCTCCAGAGTTGCATGAAGGAAGTCGAGCCACCGGTCGTGTTGAATGGGGAACGGGGAATGGCTCTGGAGTCAATGCAGGGGAATCGGGCCTCATCTCGAGTTGATTTGTGGCACCTGGAGCTGCTTTGCGTTGCTGTGGTGACCTCAGGGTCCATCTAGACTGGTGACAGTGTTCTTGGGGACTGCCTCGAGAACCATTAAGCAAGTCGAAGCTCCTGACTTGTTTGAATGGGATCACGGAATAGCTATGCATGCACTGCAGGGGAATGGGGCCTCATCTCGCCTCTAGGGGGAAGTCTCATGGTTTTTCTCGAGTTGCGGCGGGGACCTGGGGTATGTTCTCGACTTACGGCGGGGATGGCCCTTCAAAACACGAGTTTCTTCAGTGACGTCAGGACTCCTGCCTAGTAACGAGGGACACCTCAGCAATCACTTCGAGGCTTGGCAGGGCAAGAGGGACGCTTCTCGAGGTGAGCTAGGGCACCCAAGGACCCTTTCCAGTAGCCACAGGGATTTTGGGATTCCTATAAGTATTCAAGAGGAGTCAGGCATCGTCACCTTTTGAAGCAATGAACACCGCGTGCCTCTCGACGTGTCAGCGGGATGTGAGGATTCCGTCAAAATGAGGCAGGGACCTAATTCTTTCTCTAAGGTATGCACAGGGGATTCAGACATCCCTTCATGTTGTGAGATGAAAGACGAGCCTGTATTCAAGCCACTGCAAGGAAATCCGGCCTCCTTTCAAGTTAGGGCTTCTCGCTGTATATTCCCCTTGAGGCAGCAAACTCGGAGTCCCTCCCACATACCTATTGCTGAGAGAAGCCTCCTCCTGAGGTGCTTCTGGAAAGTTGGCATACGTCTTGAGCCTAAGCCAGGGATTCAGCTCTCATCTCGAGACGATTTGGGGTACACAGAGCATTCCTCGAGTTGCTGTGCTGCAGTTGGTGTTCCTCTAGACTTGGGACAGTGTTCTCGGGGCATCTCTGGAGTGGCCTGAAGGAAGTCGAGCCACCGGTCGTGTTGAATGGGGAACAAGGAATGGCTCTGGAGTCAATGCAGGGGAATCCGGCCTCATCTCGAGTTGATTTGGGGCACATGGAGCTGCTTTGCATTGCTGGGTGACCTCAGGGTCCGTCTAGACTGGTGACAGTGTTCTTGGGGACTGTCTCGAGATCCATTAAGCAAGTCGAAGCTCCTGACTTGTTTGAATGGGATCACGGAATAGCTCTGCATGCACTGCAGGGGAATGGGGCCTCATCTCGCCTCTAGGGGGAAGTCTCATGGTTTTTCTCGAGTTGCGGTGGGGACCTGGGGTATGTTCTCGACTTACGGCGGGGATGGCCCTTCAAAACACGAGTTTCTTCAGTGACGTCAGGACTCCTGTCTAGTAACCAGGGACACCTCAGCAATCTCTTCGAGGCTTGGCAGGGCAAAAGGGATGCTTCTCGAGGTGAGCCAGGGCACCCAAGGACCCTTTCCAGTAGCCACAGGGATTTTGGGATTCCTATAAGTAATCAAGAGGAGTCAGGCATCGTCACCTTTTGAAGCAATGAACTCCGCGTGCCTCTCGAGGGGTCAGCGGGATGTGAGGATTCCGTCAAAATGAGGCAGGGACCTAGGGCTTTCTCTAAGGTCTCCACAGGGGATTCAGACATCCCTTCATGTTGTGAGATGAAAGACGAGCCTGTATTCAAGCCACTGCAAGGAAATCCGGCCTCCTTTCAAGTTAGGGCTTCTCGCTGTATATTCCCCTTGAGGCAGCAAACTCGGGGTCCCTCCCACATACCTATTGCTGAGAGAAGCCTCCTCCTGAGGTGCTTCTGGAAAGGTGGCATACGTCTTGAGCCTAAGCCAGGGAATCAGCTCTCATCTCGAGACGATTTGGGGTACACAGAGCATTCCTCGAGTTGCTGTGCTGAAGTTGGTGGTCCTCTAGACTTGGGACAGTGTTCTCGGGGCATCTCTGGAGTTGCCTGAAGGAAGTCGAGCCACCGGTCGTGTTGAATGGGGAACAAGGAATGGCTCTGGAGTCAATGCAGGGGAATCCGGGCTCATCTCGAGTTGATTTGGGGCACATGGAGCTGCTTTGCATTGCTGGGTGACCTCAGGGTCCGTCTAGACTGGTGACAGTGTTCTTGGGGACTGTCTCGAGATCCATTAAGCAAGTCGAAGCTCCTGACTTGTTTGAATGGGATCACGGAATAGCTCTGCATGCACTGCAGGGGAATGGGGCCTCATCTCGCCTCTAGGGGGAAGTCTCATGGTTTTTCTCGAGTTGAGGCGGGGACCTGGGGTATGTTCTCGACTTACGGCGGGGATGGCCCTTCAAAACACGAGTTTCTTCCGTGACGTCAGGACTCCTGTCTAGTAACGAGGGACACCTCAGCAATCTCTTCGAGGCTTCGCAGGGCAAAAGGGACGCTTCTCGAGGTGAGCCAGGGCACCCAAGGACCCTTTCCAGTAGCAACAGGGATTTTGGGATTCCTATCAGTATTCAAGAGGAGTCAGGCATCGTCACCTTTTGAAGCAATGAACTCCGCGTGCCTCTCGAGGTGTCAGCGGGATGTGAGGCATTCCGTCTAAATGAGGCAGGGACCTAGGGCTTTCTCTAAGGTCTCCACAGGGGATTCAGACATCCCTTCATGTTGTGAGATGAAAGACGAGCCTGTATTCAAGCCACTGCAAGGAAATCCGGCCTCCTTTCAAGTTAGGGCTTCTCGCTGTATATTCCCCTTGAGGCAGCAAACTCGGAGTCCCTCCCACATACCTATTGTTGAGAGAAGCCTCCTCCTGAGGTGCTTCTGGAAAGTTGGCATACGTCTTGAGCCTAAGCCAGGGAATCAGCTCTCATCTCGAGACGATTTGGGGTACACAGAGCATTCCTCGAGTTGCTGTGCTGAAGTTGGTGTTCCTCTAGACTTGGGACAGTGTTCTCTGGGCATCTCCAGAGTTGCATGAAGGAAGTCGAGCCACCGGTCGTGTTGAATGGGGAACGGGGAATGGCTCTGGAGTCAATGCAGGGGAATCGGGCCTCATCTCGAGTTGATTTGTGGCACCTGGAGCTGCTTTGCGTTGCTGGGGTGACCTCAGGGTCCATCTAGACTGGTGACAGTGTTCTTGGGGACTGCCTCGAGATCCATTAAGCAAGTCGAATCTCCTGACTTGTTTGAATGGGATCACGGAATAGCTCTGCATGCAGTGCAGGGGAATGGGGCCTCATCTCGCCTCTAGGGGGAAGTCTCATGGTTTTTCTCGAGTTGCGGCGGGGACCTGGGGTATGTTCTCGACTTACGGCGGGGATGGCCCTTCAAAACACGAGTTTCTTCAGTGACGTCAGGACTCCTGCCTAGTAACGAGGGACACCTCAGCAATCTCTTCGAGGCTTGGCAGGGCAAAAGGGACGCTTCTCGAGGTGAGCCAGGGCACCCAAGGACCCTTTCCAGTAGCCACAGGGATTTTGGGATTCCTATAAGTATTCAAGAGGAGTCAGGCATCGTCACCTTTTGAAGCAATGAACACCGCGTGCCTCTCGAGGTGTCAGCGCGATGTGAGGATTCCGTCAAAATGAGGCAGGGACGTAGGGCTTTCTCTAAGGTATCCACAGGGGATTCAGACATCCCTTCATGTTGTGAGATGAAAGACGAGCCTGTATTCAAGCCACTGCAAGGAAATCCGGCCTCCTTTCAAGTTAGGGCTTCTCGCTGTATATTCCCCTTGAGGCAGCAAACTCGGGGTCCCTCCCACATACCTATTGCTGAGAGAAGCCTCCTCCTGAGGTGCTTCTGGAAAGGTGGCATACGTCTTGAGCCTAAGCCAGGGAATCAGCTCTCATCTCGAGACGATTTGGGGTACACTGAGCATTCCTCGAGTTGCTGTGCTGAAGTTGGTGGTCCTCTAGACTTGGGACAGTGTTCTCGGGTCATCTCTGGAGTTGCCTGAAGGAAGTCGAGCCACCGGTCGTGTTGAATGGGGAACAAGGAATGGCTCTGGAGTCAATGCAGGGGAATCCGGCCTCATCTCGAGTTGATTTGGGGCACATGGAGCTGCTTTGCATTGCTGGGTGACCTCAGGGTCCGTCTAGACTGGTGACAGTGTTCTTGGGGACTGTCTCGAGATCCATTAAGCAAGTCGAAGCTCCTGACTTGTTTGAATGGGATCACGGAATAGCTCTGCATGCACTGCAGGGGAATGGGGCCTCATCTCGCCTCTAGGGGGAAGTCTCATGGTTTTTCTCGAGTTGCGGCGGGGACCTGGGGTATGTTCTCGACTTACGGCGGGGATGGCCCTTCAAAACACGAGTTTCTTCAGTGACGTCAGGACTCCTGTCTAGTAACGAGGGACACCTCAGCAATCTCTTCGAGGCTTGGCAGGGCAAAAGGGACGCTTCTCGAGGTGAGCCAGGGCACCCAAGGACCCTTTCCAGTAGCCACAGGGATTTTGGGATTCCTATAAGTAATCAAGAGGAGTCATGCATCGTCACCTTTTGAAGCAATGAACTCCGCGTGCCTCTCGACGTGTCAGCGGGATGTGAGGATTCCGTCAAAATGAGGCAGGGACCTAGGGCTTTCTCTAAGGTATGCACAGGGGATTCAGACATCCCTTCATGTTGTGAGATGAAAGACGAGCCTGTATTCAAGCCACTGCAAGGAAATCCGGCCTCCTTTCAAGTTAGGGCTTCTCGCTGTATATTCCCCTTGAGGCAGCAAACTCGGAGTCCCTCCCACATACCTATTGCTGAGAGAAGCCTCCTCCTGAGGTGCTTCTGGAAGGTTGGCATACGTCTTGAGCCTAAGCCAGGGATTCAGCTCTCATCTCGAGACCATTTCGGGTACACAGAGCATTCCTCGAGTTGCTGTGCTGAAGTTGGTGTTCCTCTAGACTTGGGACAGTGTTCTCTGGGCATCTCTGGAGTTGCATGAAGGAAGTCGAGCCACCGGTCGTGTTGAATGGGGAACGGGGAATGGCTCTGGAGTCAATGCAGGGGAATCCGGCCTCATCTCGAGTTGATTTGTGGCACCTGGAGCTGCTTTGCGTTGCTGGGGTGACCTCAGGGGTCCATCTAGACTGGTGACAGTGTTCTTGGGGACTGCCTCGAGATCCATTAAGCAAGTCGAAGCTCCTGACTTGTTTGAATGGGATCACGGAATAGCTCTGCATGCACTGCAGGGGAATGGGGCCTCATCTCGCCTCTAGGGGGAAGTCTCATGGTTTTTCTCGAGTTGCGGCGGGGACCTGGGGTATGTTCTCGACTTACGGCGGGGATGGCCCTTCAAAACACGAGTTTCTTCAGTGACGTCAGGACTCCTGTCTAGTAACGAGGGACACCTCAGCAATCTCTTCGAGGCTTGGCAGGGCAAAAGGGACGCTTCTCGAGGTGAGCCAGGGCACCCAAGGACCCTTTCCAGTAGCCACAGGGATTTTGGGATTCCTATAAGTATTCAAGAGGAGTGAGGCATCGTCACCTTTTGAAACAATGAACACCGCGTGCCTCTCGAGGTGTCAGCGGGATGTGAGGATTTCGTCAAAATGAGGCAGGGACCTAGGGCTTTCTCTAAGGTATGCACAGGGGATTCAGACATCCCTTCATGTTGTGAGATGAAAGACGAGCCTGTATTCAAGCCACTGCAAGGAAATCCGGCCTCCTTTCAAGTTAGGGCTTCTCGCTGTATATTCCCCTTGAGGCAGCAAACTCAGGGTCCCTCCCACATACCTATTGCTGAGAGAATCCTCCTCCTGAGGAGCTTCTGGAAAGGTGGCATACGTCTTGAGCCTAAGCCAGGGAATCAGCTCTCATCTCGAGACGATTTGGGGTACACTGAGCATTCCTTGAGTTGCTGTGCTGAAGTTGGTGGTCCTCTAGACTTGGGACAGTGTTCTCGGGTCATCTCTGGAGTTGCCTGAAGGAAGTCGAGCCACCGGTCGTGTTGAATGGGGAACAAGGAATGGCTCTGGAGTCAATGCAGGGGAATCCGGCCTCATCTCGAGTTGATTTGGGGCACATGGAGCTGCTTTGCATTGCTGGGTGACCTCAGGGTCCGTCTAGACTGGTGACAGTGTTCTTGGGGACTGTCTCGAGATCCATTAAGCAAGTCGAAGCTCCTGACTTGTTTGAATGGGATCAGGGAATAGCTCTGCATGCACTGCAGGGGAATGGGGCCTCATCTCGCCTCTAGGGGGAAGTCTCATGGTTTTTCTCGAGTTGCGGCGGGGACCTGGGGTATGTTCTCGACTTACGGCGGGGATGGCCCTTCAAAACACGAGTTTCTTCAGTGACGTCAGGACTCCTGTCTAGTAACGAGGGACACCTCAGCAATCTCTTCGAGGCTTGGCAGGGCAAAAGGGACGCTTCTCGAGGTGAGCCAGGGCACCCAAGGACCCTTGCCAGTAGCCACAGGGATTTTGGGATTCCTATAAGTAATCAAGAGGAGTCATGCATCGTCACCTTTTGAAGCAATGAACTCCGCGTGCCTCTCGAGGTGTCAGCGGGATGTGAGGCATTCCGTCAAAATGAGGCAGGGACCTAGGGCTTTCTCTAAGGTCTCCACAGGGGATTCAGACATCCCTTCATGTTGTGAGATGAAAGACAAGCCTGTATTCAAGCTACTGCAAAAATCCGGCCTCCTTTCAAGTTAGGGCTTCTCGCTGTATATTGCCCTTGAGGCAGCAAACTCGGAGTCCCTCCCACATAACTATTGCTGAGAAGCCTCCTCCTGAGGTGCTTCTGGAAAGTTGGCATACGGCTTGAGCCTAAGCCAGGGAATCAGCTCTCATCTCGAGATGATTTGGGGTACACAGATCATTCCTCGAGTTGCTGTGCTGAAGTTGGTGTTCCTCTAGACTTGGGACAGTGTTCTCGGGGCATCTCTGGAGTTGCCTGAAGGAAGGCGAGCCACCGGTCGTGTTGAATGGGGAACGGGGAATGGCTCTGGAGTCAATGCAGGGGAATCCGGCCTCATCTCGAGTTGATTTGGGGCACATGGAGCTGCTTTGCATTGCTGGGTGACCTCAGGGTCCGTCTAGACTGGTGACAGTGTTCTTGGGGACTGTCTCGAGATCCATTAAGCAAGTCGAAGCTCCTGACTTGTTTGAATGGGATCACGGAATAGCTCTGCATGCGCTGCAGGGGAATGGGGCCTCATCTCGCCTCTAGGGGGAAGTCTCATGGTTTTTCTCGAGTTGCGGTGGGGACCTGGGGTATGTTCTCGACTTAAGGCGGGGATGCCCCTTCAAAACACGAGTTTCTTCAGTGACGTCAGGACTCCTGTCTAGTAACGAGGGACACCTCAGCAATCTCTTCGAGGCTTGGCAGGGCAAAAGGGATGCTTCTCGAGGTGAGCCAGGGCACCCAAGGACCCTTTCCAGTAGCCACAGAGATTTTGGGATTCCTATAAGTAATCAAGAGTAGTCAGGCATCGTCACCTTTTGAAGCAATGTACTCCGCGTGCCACTCGAGTTGTCAGCGGGATGTGAGGCATTCCGTCAAAATGAGGCAGGGACCTAGGGCTTTCTCTAAGGTCTTCACAGGGGATTCAGACATCCCTTCATGTTGTGAGATAAAAGACGAGCCTGTATTCAAGCCACTGCAAGGAAATCCGGCCTCCTTTCAAGTTAGGGCTTCTCGCTGTATATTCCCCTTGAGGCAGCAAACTCGGGGTCCCTCCCACATACCTATTGCTGAGAGAAGCCTCCTCCTGAGATGCTTCTGGAAAGGTGGCATAGGTCTTGAGCCTAAGCCATAGAATCAGCTCTCATCTCGAGACGATTTGGGGTACACAGAGCATTCCTCGAGTTGCTCTGCTGAAGTTGGTGGTCCTCTAGACTTGGGACAGTGTTCTCGGGGCATCTTTGGAGTTGCCTGAAGGAAGTCGAGCCACCGGTCGTGTTGAATGGGGAACAAGGAATGGCTCTGGAGTCAATGCAGGGGAATCCGGCCTCATCTCGAGTTGATTTGGGGCACATGGAGCTGCTTTGCATTGCTGGGTGACCTCAGGGTCCGTCTAGACTGGTGACAGTGTTCTTGGGGACTGTCTCGAGATCCATTAAGCAAGTCGAAGCTCCTGACTTGTTTGAATGGGATCAGGGAATAGCTCTGCATGCACTGCAGGGGAATGGGGCCTCATCTCGCCTCTAGGGGGAAGTCTCATGGTTTTTCTCGAGTTGCGGGGGGGACCTGGGGTATGTTCTCGACTTACGGCGGGGATGGCCCTTCAAAACACGAGTTTCTTCCGTGACGTCAGGACTCCTGTCTAGTAACAAGGGACACCTCAGCAATCTCTTCGAGGCTTGGCAGGGAAAAAGGGACGCTTCTCGAGGTGAGCCAGGGCACCCAAGGACCCTTTCCAGTAGCCACAGGGATTTTGGGATTCCTATCAGTATTCAAGAGGAGTCAGGCATCGTCACCTTTTGAAGCAATGAACTCCGCGTGACTCTCGAGGTGTCAGCGGATTGTGAGGATTCCGTCAAAATGAGGCAGGGACCTAGGGCTTTCTCTAAGGTCTCCACAGGGGATTCAGACATCCCTTCATGTTGTGAGATGAAAGACGAGCCTGTATTCAAGCCACTGCAAGGAAATCCGGCCTCCTTTCAAGTTAGGGCTTCTCGCTGTATATTCCCCTTGAGGCAGCAAACTCGGAGTCCCTCCCACATACCTATTGCTGAGAGAAGCCTCCTCCTGAGGTGCTTCTGGAAAGTTGGCATACGTCTTGAGCCTAAGCCAGGGATTCAGCTCTCATCTCGAGACGATTTGGGGTACACAGAGCATTCCTCGAGTTGCTGTGCTGAAGTTGGTGTTCCTGTAGACTTGGTACAGTGTTCTCGGGGCATCTCTGGAGTTGCCTGAAGGAAGTCGAGCCACCGGTCGTGTTGAATGGGGAACAAGGAATGGCTCTGGAGTCAATGCAGGGGAATCCGGCCTCATCTCGAGTTGATTTGGGGCACATGGAGCTGCTTTGCATTGCTGGGTGACCTCAGGGTCCGTCTAGACTGGTGACAGTGTTCTTGGGGACTGTCTCGAGATCCATTAAGCAAGTCGAAGCTCCTGACTTGTTTGAATGGGATCACGGAATAGCTCTGCATGCACTGCAGGGGAATGGGGCCTCATCTCGCCTCTAGGGGGAAGTCTCATGGTTTTTCTCGAGTTGCGGTGGGGACCTGGGGTATGTTCTCGACTTACGGCGGGGATGGCCCTTCAAAACACGAGTTTCTTCAGTGACCTCAGGACTCCTGTCTAGTAACGAGGGACACCTCAGCAATCTCTTCGAAGCTTGGCAGGGCAAAAGGGATGCTTCTCGAGGTGAGCCAGGGCACCCAAGGACCCTTTCCAGTAGCCACAGGGATTTTGGGATTCCTATAAGTAATCAAGATGAGTCAGGCATCGTCAACTTTTGAAGCAATGAACTCTGCGTGCCTCTCGAGGGGTCAGCGGGATGTGAGGATTCCGTCAAAATGAGGCAGGGACCTAGGGCTTTCTCTAAGGTCTCCACAGGGGATTCAGACATCCCTTCATGTTGTGAGATGAAAGACGAGCCTGTATTCAAGCCACTGCAAGGAAATCCGGCCTCCTTTCAAGTTAGGGCTTCTCGCTGTATATTCCCCTTGAGGCAGCAAACTCGGGGTCCCTCCCACATACCTACTGCTGAGAGAAGCCTCCTCCTGAGGTGCTTCTGGAAAGGTGGCATACGTCTTGAGCCTAAGCCAGGGAATCAGCTCTCATCTCGAGACGATTTGGGGTACACAGAGCATTCCTCGAGTTGCTGTGCTGAAGTTGGTGGTCCTCTAGACTTGGGACAGTGTTCTCGGGGCATCTCTGGAGTTGCCTGAAGGAAGTCGAGCCACCGGTCGTGTTGAATGGGGAACAAGGAATGGCTCTGGAGTCAATGCAGGGGAATCCGGCCTCATCTCGAGTTGATTTGGGGCACATGGAGCTGCTTTGCATTGCTGGGTGACCTCAGGGTCCGTCTAGACTTGTGACAGTGTTCTTGGGGACTGTCTCGAGATCCATTAAGCAAGTCGAAGCTCCTGACTTGTTTGAATGGGATCACGGAATAGCTCTGCATGCACTGCAGGGGAATGGGGCCTCATCTCGCCTCTAGGGGGAAGTCTCATGGTTTTTCTCGAGTTGCGGCGGAGACCTGGGGTATGTTCTCGACTTACGGCGGGGATGGCCCTTCAAAACACGAGTTTCTTCAGTGACGTCAGGACTCATGTCTAGTAACGAGGGACACATCAGCAATCTCTTCGAGGCTTGGCAGGGCAAAAGGGACGCTTCTCGAGGTGAGCCAGGGCACCCAAGGACCCTTTCCAGTAGCCACAGGGATTTTGGGATTCCTATCAGTATTCAAGAGGAGTCAGGCATCGTCACCTTTTGAAGCAATGTACTCCGCGTGCCACTCGAGTTGTCAGCGGGATGTGAGGCATTCCGTCAAAGTGAGGCAGGGACCTAGGGCTTTCTCTAAGGTCTTCACAGGGGATTCAGACATCCCTTCATGTTGTGAGATGAAAGACGAGCCTGTATTCAAGCCACTGCAAGGAAATCCGGCCTCCTTTCAAGTTAGGGCTTCTCGCTGTATATTCCCCTTGAGGCAGCAAACTCGGGGTCCCTCCCACATACCTATTGCTGAGAGAAGCCTCCCCCTGAGGTGCTTCTGGAAAGGTGGCATAGGTCTTGAGCCTAAGCCAGGGAATCAGCTCTCATCTCGAGACGATTTGGGGTACACAGAGCATTCCTCGAGTTGCTGTGCTGAAGTTGGTGGTCCTCTAGACTTGGGACAGTGTTCTCGGGGCATCTCTGGAGTTGCCTGAAAGAAGTCGAGCCACCGGTCGTGTTGAATGGGGAACAAGGAATGGCTCTGGAGTCAATGCAGGGGAATCCGGCCTCATCTCGAGTTTATTTGGGGCACATGGAGCTGCTTTGCATTGCTGGGTGACCTCAGGGTCCGTCTAGACTGGTGACAGTGTTCTTGGGGACTGTCTCGAGATCCATTAAGCAAGTCGAAGCTCCTGACTTGTTTGAATGGGATCACGGAATAGCTCTGCATGCACTGCAGGGGAATGGGGCCTCATCTCGCCTCTAGGGGGAAGTCTCATGGTTTTTCTCGAGTTGCGGCGGGGACCTGGGGTATGTTCTCGACTTACGGCGGGGATGGCCCTTCAAAACACGAGTTTCTTCCGTGACGTCAGGACTCCTGTCTAGTAACAAGGGACACCTCAGCAATCTCTTCGAGGCTTGGCAGGGAAAAAGGGACGCTTCTCGAGGTGAGCCAGGGCACCCAAGGACCCTTTCCAGTAGCCACAGGGATTTTGGGATTCCTATCAGTATTCAAGAGGAGTCAGGCATCGTCACCTTTTGAAGCAATGAACTCCGCGTGACTCTCGAGGTGTCAGCGGGATGTGAGGATTCCGTCAAAATGAGGCAGGGACCTAGGGCTTTCTCTAAGGTCTCCACAGGGGATTCAGACATCCCTTCATGTTGTGAGATGAAAGACGAGCCTGTATTCAAGCCACTGCAAGGAAATCCGGCCTCCTTTCAAGTTAGGGCTTCTCGCTGTATATTCCCCTTGAGGCAGCAAACTCGGAGTCCCTCCCACATACCTATTGCTGAGAGAAGCCTCCTCCTGAGGTGCTTCTGGAAAGTTGGCATACGTCTTGAGCCTAAGCCAGGGATTCAGCTCTCATCTCGAGACGATTTGGGGTACACAGAGCATTCCTCGATTTGCTGTGCTGAAGTTGGTGTTCCTCTAGACTTGGGACAGTGTTCTCTGGGCATCTCTGGAGTTGCATGAAGGAAGTCGAGCCACCGGTCGTGTTGAATGGGGAACGGGGAATGGCTCTGGAGTCAATGCAGGGGAATCGGGCCTCATCTCGAGTTGATTTGTGGCACCTGGAGCTGCTTTGCGTTGCTGGGGTGACCTCAGGGGTCCATCTAGACTGGTGACAGTGTTCTTGGGGACTGCCTCGAGATCCATTAAGCAAGTCGAAGCTCCTGACTTGTTTGAATGGGATCACGGAATAGCTCTGCATGCACTGCAGGGGAATGGGGCCTCATCTCGCCTCTAGGGGGAAGTCTCATGGTTTTTCTCGAGTTGCGGCGGGGACCTGGGGTATGTTCTCGACTTACGGCGGGGATGGCCCTTCAAAACACGAGTTTCTTCAGTGACGTCAGGACTCCTGTCTAGTAACGAGGGACACATCAGTAATCTCTTCGAGGCTTGGCAGGGCAAAAGGGACGCTTCTCGAGGTGAGCCAGGGCACCCAAGGACCCTTTCCAGTAGCCACAGGGATTTTGGGATTCCTATCAGTATTCAAGAGGAGTCAGGCATCGTCACCTTTGGAAGCAATGTACTCCGCGTGCCTCTCGAGTTGTCAGTGGGATGTGAGGCATTCCGTCAAAATGAGGCAGGGACCTAAGGCTTTCTCTAAGGTCTCCACAGGGGATTCAGACATCCCTTCATGTTGTGAGATGAAAGACGAGCCTGTATTCAAGCCACTGCAAGGAAATCCGGCCTCCTTTCAAGTTAGGGCTTCTCGCTGTATATTCCCCTTGAGGCAGTAAACTCGGAGTCCCTCCCACATACCTATTGCTGAGAGAAGCCTCCTCCTGAGGTGCTTCTGGAAAGGTGGCATACGTCTTGAGCCTAAGCCAGGGAATCAGCTCTCATCTCGAGACGATTTGGGGTACACGGAGCATTCCTCGAGTTGCTGTGCCGAAGTTGGTGGTCCTCTAGACTTGGGACAGTGTTCTCGGGTCATCTCTGGAGTTGCCTGAAGGAAGTCGAGCCACCGGTCGTGTTGAATGGGGAACAAGGAATGGCTCTGGAGTCAATGCAGGGGAATCCGGCCTCATCTCGAGTTGATTTGGGGCACATGGAGCTGCTTTGCATTGCTGGTTTACCTCAGGGTCCGTCTAGACTGGTGACAGTGTTCTTGGGGACTGTCTCGAGATCCATTAAGCAAGTCGAAGCTCCTGACTTGTTTGAATGGGATCACGGAATAGCTCTGCATGCACTGCAGGGGAATGGGGCCTCATCTCGCCTCTAGGGGGAAGTCTCATGGTTTTTCTCGAGTTGCGGCGGGGACCTGGGGTATGTTCTCGACTTACGGTGGGGATGGCCCTTCAAAACACGAGTTTCTTCAGTGACGTCAGGACTCCTGTCTAGTAACGAGGGACACCTCAGCAATCTCTTCAAGGCTTGGCAGGGCAAAAGGGACGCTTCTCGAGGTGAGCCAGGGCACCCAAGGACCCTTTCCAGTAGCCACAGGGATTTTGGGATTCCTATAAGTAATCAAGAAGAGTCATGCATCGTCACCTTTTGAAGCAATGAACTCCGCGTGCCTCTCGACGTGTCAGCGGGATGTGAGGATTCCATCAAAATGAGGCAGGGACCTAGGGCTTTCTCTAAGGTCTCCACAGGGGAATCAGACATCCCTTCATGTTGTGAGATGAAAGACGAGCCTGTATTCAAGCCACTGCATGGAAATCCGGCCTCCTTTCAAGTTAGGGCTTCTAGCTGTATATTCCCCTTGAGGCAGCAAACTCGGGGTCCCTCCCACATACCTATTACTGAGAGAAGCCTCCTCCTGAGGTGCTTCTGGAAAGGTGGCATACGTCTTGAGCCTAAGCCAGGGAATCAGCTCTCATCTCGAGACGATTTGGGGTACACAGATCATTCCTCGAGTTGCTGTGCTGAAGTTGGTGTTCCTCTAGACTTGGGAGAGTGTTCTCGGGGCATCTCTGGAGTTGCCTGAAGGAAGTCGAGCCACCGGTCGTGTTGAATGGGGAACGGGGAATGGCTCTGGAGTCAATGCAGGGGAATCGGGCCTCATCTCGAGTTGATTTGTGGCACCTGGAGCTGCTTTGCGTTGCTGGGGTGACCTCAGGTTCCGTCTAGACTGGTGACAGTGTTCTTGGGGACTTCCTCGAGATCCATTAAGCAAGTCGAAGCTCCTGACTTGTTTGAATGGGATCACGGAATAGCTCTGCATGCACTGCAGGGGAATGGGGACTCATCTCGCCTCTAGGGGGAAGTCTCATGGTTTTTCTTGAGTTGCGGCGGGGACCTGGGGTATGTTCTCGACTTACGGCGGGGATGCCCCTTCAAAACACGAGTTTCTTCAGTGACGTCAGGACTCCTGTCTAGTAACGAGGGACACATCAGCAATCTCTTCGAGGCTTGGCAGGGCAAAAGGGACGCTTCTCGAGGTGAGCCAGGGCACCCAAGGACACTTTCCAGTAGCCACAGGGATTTTGGGATTCCTATCAGTGTTCAAGAGGAGTCAGGCATCGTCACCTTTTGAAGCAATGTACTCCGCGTGACTCTCGAGTTGTCAGCGGGATGTGAGGCATTCCGTCAAAATGAGGCAGGGACCTAGGGCTTTCTCTAAGGTCTTCACAGGGGATTCTGACATCCCTTCATGTTGTGAGATGAAAGACGAGCCTGTATTCAAGCCACTGCAAGGAAATCCGGCCTCCTTTCAAGTTAGGGCTTCTCGCTGTATATTCCCCTTGAGGCAGCAAACTCGGGGTCCCTCCCACATACCTATTGCTGAGAGAAGCCTCCTCCTGAGGTGCTTCTGGAAAGGTGGCATACGTCTTGAGCCTAAGCCAGGGAATCAGCTCTCATCTCGAGACGATTTGGGGTACACTGAGCATTCCTCGAGTTGCTGTGCTGAAGTTGGTGGTCCTCTAGACTTGGGACAGTGTTCTCGGGTCATCTCTGGAGTTGCCTGAAGGAAGTCGAGCCACCGGTCGTGTTGAATGGGGAACAAGGAATGGCTCTGGAGTCAATGCAGGGGAATCCGGCCTCATCTCGAGTTGATTTGGGGCACATGGAGCTGCTTTGCATTGCTGGGTGACCTCAGGGTCCGTCTAGACTGGTGACAGTGTTCTTGGGGACTGCCTCGAGATCCATTAAGCAAGTCGAAGCTCCTGACTTGTTTGAATGGGATCACGGAATAGCTCTGCATGCACTGCAGGGGAATGGGGACTCATCTAGCCTCTAGGGGGAAGTCTCATGGTTTTTCTCGAGTTGCGGCGGGGACCTGGGGTATGTTCTCGACTTACGGCGGGGATGGCCCTTCAAAACACGAGTTTCTTCCGTGACGTCAGGACTCCTGTCTAGTAACGAGGGACACCTCAGCAATCTCTTCGAGGCTTGGCAGGGCAAAAGGGACGCTTCTCGAGGTGAGCCAGGGCACCCAAGGACCCTTTCCAGTAGCAACAGGGATTTTGGGATTCCTATCAGTATTCAAGAGGAGTCAGGCATCGTCACCTTTTGAAGCAATCAACTCCGCGTGCCTCTCGAGGTGTCAGCGGGATGTGAGGATTCCGTCAAAATGAGGCAGGGACCTAGGGCTTTCTATAAGGTCTCCACAGGGGATTCAGACATCCCTTCATGTTGTGAGATGAAAGACGAGCCTGTATTCAAGCCACTGCAAGGAAATCCGTCCTCCTTTCAAGTTAGGGCTTCTCGCTGTATATTCCCCTTGAGGCAGCAAACTCGGAGTCCCTCCCACATACCTATTGCTGAGAGAAGCCTCCTCCTGAGGTGCTTCTGGAAAGGTGGCATACGTCTTGAGCCTAAGCCAGGGAATCAGCTCTCATCTCGAGACGATTTGGGGTACACGGAGCATTCCTCGAGTTGCTGTGCCGAAGTTGGTGGTCCTCTAGACTTGGGACAGTGTTCTCGGGTCATCTCTGGAGTTGCCTGAAGGAAGTCGAGCCACCGGTCGTGTTGAATGGGGAACAAGGAATGGCTCTGGAGTCAATGCAGGGGAATCCGGCCTCATCTCGAGTTGATTTGGGGCACATGGAGCTGCTTTGCATTGCTGGTTGACCTCAGGGTCCGTCTAGACTGGTGACAGTGTTCTTGGGGACTGTCTCGAGATCCATTAAGCAAGTCGAAGCTCCTGACTTGTTTGAATGGGATCAGGGAATAGCTCTGCATGCACTGCAGGGGAATGGGGCCTCATCTCGCCTCTAGGGGGAAGTCTCATGGTTTTTCTCGAGTTGCGGCGGGGACCTGGGGTATATTCTCGACTTACGGCGGGGATGGCCCTTCAAAACACGAGTTTCTTCAGTGACGTCAGGACTCCTGTCTAGTAACGAGGGACACCTCAGCAATCTCTTCGAGGCTTGGCAGGGCAAAAGGGACGCTTCTCGAGGTGAGCCAGGGCACCCAAGGACCCTTTCCAGTAGCCACAGGGATTTTGGGATTCCTATAAGTAATCAAGAGGAGTCAGGCATCGTCACCTTTTGAAGCAATGAACTCCGTGTGCCTCTCGAGGTATCAGCGAGATGTGAGGCATTCCGTCAAAATGAGGCAGGGACCTAGGGCTTTCTCTAAGGTCTCCACAGGGGATTCAGACATCCCTTCATGTTGTGAGATGAAAGACAAGCCTGTATTCAAGCTACTGCAAGGAAATCTGGCCTCCTTTCAAGTTAGGGCTTCTCGCTGTATATTCCCCTTGAGGCAGCATAGTCGGAGTCCCTCCCACATACCTATTTCTGAGAAGCCTCCTTCTGAGGTGCTTCTGGAAATTTGGCATACGTCTTGAGCCTAAGCCAGGGAATCAGCTCTCATCTCGAGACGATTTGGGGTACACAGAGCATTCCTCGAGTTGCTGTGCTGAAGTTGGTGTTCCTCTAGACTTGAGACAGTGTTCTCGGGGCATCTCTGGAGTTGCCTGAAGGAAGGCGAGCCACCGTTCGTGTTGAACGGGGAACGGGGAATGGCTCTGGAGTCAATGCAGGGGAATCGGGCCTCATCTCGAGTTGATTTGGGGCACATGGAGCTGCTTTGCGTTGCTGAGGTGACCTCAGGGTCCGTCTAGACTGGTGACAGTGTTCTTGGGGACTGTCTCGAGATCCATTAAGCAAGTCGAAGCTCCTGACTTGTTTGAATGGGATCACGGAATAGCTCTGCATGCACTGCAGGGGAATGGGGCCTCATCTCGCCTATAGGGGGAAGTCTCATGGTTTTTCTCGAGTTGCGGCGGGGACCTGGGGTATGTTCTCGACTTACGGCGGGGATGGCCCTTCAAAACACGAGTTTCTTCCGTGACGTCAGGACTCCTGTCTAGAAACGAGGGACACCTCAGCAATCTCTTCGAGGCTTGGCAGGGCAAAAGGGACGCTTCTCGAGGTGAGCCAGGGCACCCAAGGACCTTTTCCAGTAGCCACAGGGATTTTGGGATTAGTATAAGTAATCAAGAGGAGTGATGCATCGTCACCTTTTGAAGCAATGAACTCCGCGTGCCTCTCGACGTGTCAGCGGGATGTGAGGATTCCATCAAAATGAGGCAGGGACCTAGGGCTTTCTCTAAGGTCTCCACAGGGGAATCAGACATCCCTTCATGTTGTGAGATGAAAGACGAGCCTGTATTCAAGCCACTGCATGGAAATCCGGCCTCCTTTCAAGTTAGGGCTTCTCGCTGTATATTCCCCTTGAGGCAGCAAACTCGGGGTCCCTCCCACATACCTATTACTGAGAGAAGCCTCCTCCTGAGGTGCTTCTGGAAAGGTGGCATACGTCTTGAGCCTAAGCCAGGGAATCAGCTCTCATCTCGAGACGATTTGGGATACACAGAGCATTCCTCGAGTTGCTGTGCTGAAGTTGGTGGTCCTCTAGACTTGGGACAGTGTTCTCGGGGCATCTCTGGAGTTGCCTGAAGGAAGTCGAGCCACCGGTCGTGTTGAATGGGGAACAAGGAATGGCTCTGGAGTCAATGCAGGGGAATCCGGCCTCATCTCGAGTTGATTTGGGGCACATGGAGCTGCTTTGCATTGCTGGGTGACCTCAGGGTCCGTCTAGACTGGTGACAGTGTTCTTGGGGACTGTCTCGAGATCCATTAAGCAAGTCGAAGCTCCTGACTTGTTTGAATGGGATCACGGAATAGCTCTGCATGCACTGCAGGGGAATGGGGCCTCATCTCGCCTCTAGGGGGAAGTCTCATGGTTTTTCTCGAGTTGCGGCGGGGACCTGGGGTATGTTCTCGACTTACGGCGGGGATGGCCCTTCAAAACACGAGTTTCTTCCGTGACGTCAGGACTCCTGTCTAGTAACGAGGGACACCTCAGCAATCTCTTCGAGGCTTGGCAGGGCAAAAGGGACGCTTCTCGAGGTGAGCCAGGGCACCCAAGGACCCTTTCCAGTAGCCACAGGGATTTTGGGATTCCTATCAGTATTCAAGAGGAGTCAGGCATCGTCACCTTTTGAAGCAATGAACTCCGCGTGCCTCTCGAGGTGTCAGCGGGATGTGAGGATTCCGTCAAAATGAGGCAGGGACCTAGGGCTTTCTCTAAGGTCTCCACAGGGGATTCAGACATCCCTTCATGTTGTGAGATGAAAGACGAGCCTGTATTCAAGCCACTGCAAGGAAATCCGGCCTCCTTTCAAGTTAGGGCTTCTCGCTGTATATTCCCCTTGAGGCAGCAAACTCGGAGTCCCTCCCACATACCTATTGCTGAGAGAAGCCTCCTCCTGAGGTGCTTCTGGAAAGGTGGCATACGTCTTGAGCCTAAGCCAGGGAATCAGCTCTCATCTCGAGACGATTTGTGGTACACGGAGCATTCCTCGAGTTGCTGTGCCGAAGTCGGTGGTCCTCTAGACTTGGGACAGTGTTCTCCGGTCATCTCTGGAGTTGCCTGAAGGAAGTCGAGCCACCGGTCGTGTTGAATGGGGAACAAGGAATGGCTCTGGTGTCAATGCAGGGGAATCCGGCCTCATCTCGAGTTGATTTGGGGCACATGGAGCTGCTTTGCATTGCTGGTTGACCTCAGGGTCCGTCTAGACTGGTGACAGTGTTCTTGGGGACTGTCTCGAGATCCATTAAGCAAGTCGAAACTCCTGACTTGTTTGAATGGGATCAGGGAATAGCTCTGCATGCACTGCAGGGGAATGGGGCCTCATCTCGCCTCTAGGGGGAAGTCTCATGGTTTTTCTCGAGTTGCGGCGGAGACCTGGGGTATGTTCTCGACTTACGGCGGGGATGGCCCTTCAAAACACGAGTTTCTTCAGTGACGTCAGGACTCCTGTCTAGTAACGAGGGACACATCAGCAATCTCTTCGAGGCTTGGCAGGGCAAAAGGGACGCTTCTCGAGGTGAGCCAGGGCACCCAAGGACCCTTTCCAGTAGCCACAGGGATTTTGGGATTCCTATCAGTATTCAAGAGGAGTCAGGCATCGTCACCTTTTGAAGCAATGAACTCCGTGTGCCTCTCGAGGTATCAGCGAGATGTGAGGCATTCCGTCAAAATGAGGCAGGGACCTAGGGCTTTCTCTAAGGTCTCCACAGGGGATTCAGACATCCCTTCATGTTGTGAGATGAAAGACAAGCCTGTATTCAAGCTACTGCAAGGAAATCTGGCCTCCTTTCAAGTTAGGGCTTCTCGCTGTATATTTCCCTTGAGGCAGCATAGTCGGAGTCCCTCCCACATACCTATTTCTGAGAAGCCTCCTCCTGAGGTGCTTCTGGAAATTTGGCATACGTCTTGAGCCTAAGCCAGGGAATCAGCTCTCATCTCGAGACGATTTGGGGTACACAGAGCATTCCTCGAGTTGCTGTGCTGAAGTTGGTGGTCCTCTAGACTTGGGACAGTGTTCTCGGGGCATCTCTGGAGTTGCCTGAAGGAAGTCGAGCCACCGGTCGTGTTGAATGGGGAACAAGGAATGGCTCTGGAGTCAATGCGGGGGAATCCGGCCTCATCTCGAGTTGATTTGGGGCACATGGAGCTGCTTTGCATTGCTGGGTGACCTCAGGGTCCGTCTAGACTGGTGACAGTGTTCTTGGGGACTGTCTCGAGATCCATTAAGCAAGTCGAAGCTCCTGACTTGTTTGAATGGGATCACGGAATAGCTCTGCATGCACTGCAGGGGAATGGGGCCTCATCTCGCCTCTAGGGGGAAGTCTCATGGTTTTTCTCGAGTTGCGGCGGGGACCTGGGGTATGTTCTCGACTTACGGCGGGGATGGCCCTTCAAAACACGAGTTTCTTCCGTGACGTCAGGACTCCTGTCTAGTAACGAGGGACACCTCAGCAATCTCTTCGAGGCTTGGCAGGGCAAAAGGGACGCTTCTCGAGGTGAGCCAGGGCACCCAAGGACCCTTTCCAGTAGCCACAGGGATTTTGGGATTCCTATCAGTATTCAAGAGGAGTCACGCATCGTCACCTTTTGAAGCAATGAACTCCGCGTGCCTCTCGAGGTGTCAGCGGGATGTGAGGATTCCGTCAAAATGAGGCAGGGACCTAGGGCTTTCTCTAAGGTCTCCACAGGGGATTCAGACATCCCTTCATGTTGTGAGATGAAAGACGAGCCTGTATTCAAGCCACTGCAAGGAAATCCGGCCTCCTTTCAAGTTAGGGCTTCTCGCTGTATATTCCCCTTGAGGCAGCAAACTCGGAGTCCCTCCCACATACCTATTGCTGAGAGAAGCCTCCTCCTGAGGTGCTTCTGGAAAGGTGGCATACGTCTTGAGCCTAAGCCAGGGAATCAGCTCTCATCTCGAGACGATTTGGGGTACACGGAGCATTCCTCGAGTTGCTGTGCCGAAGTTGGTGGTCCTCTAGACTTGGGACAGTGTTCTCCGGTCATCTCTGGAGTTGCCTGAAGGAAGTCGAGCCACCGGTCGTGTTGAATGGGGAACAAGGAATGGCTCTGGTGCCAATGCAGGGGAATCCGGCCTCATCTCGAGTTGATTTGGGGCACATGGAGCTGCTTTGCATTGCTGGTTGACCTCAGGGTCCGTCTAGACTGGTGACAGTGTTCTTGGGGACTGTCTCGAGATCCATTAAGCAAGTCGAAGCTCCTGACTTGTTTGAATGGGATCAGGGAATAGCTCTGCATGCACTGCAGGGGAATGGGGCCTCATCTCGCCTCTAGGGGGAAGTCTCATGGTTTTTCTCGAGTTGCGGCGGGGACCTGGGGTATGTTCTCGACTTACGGCGGGGATGGCCCTTCAAAACACGAGTTTCTTCAGTGACGTCAGGACTCCTGTCTAGTAACGAGGGACACCTCAGCAATCTCTTCGAGGCTTGGCAGGGCAAAAGGGACGCTTCTCGAGGTGAGCCAGGGCACCCAAGGACCCTTTCCAGTAGCCACAGGGATTTTGGGATTCCTATAAGTAATCAAGAGGAGTCATGCATCGTCACCTTTTGAAGCAATGAACTCCGCGTGCCTCTCGACGTGTCAGCGGGATGTGAGGATTCCATCAAAATGAGGCAGGGACCTAGGGCTTTCTCTAAGGTCTCCACAGGGGAATCAGACATCCCTTCATGTTGTGAGATGAAAGACGAGCCTGTATTCAAGCCACTGCATGGAAATCCGGCCTCCTTTCAAGTTAGGGCTTCTCGCTGTATATTCCCCTTGAGGCAGCAAACTCTGGGTCCCTCCCACATACCTATTACTGAGAGAAGCCTCCTCCTGAGGTGCTTCTGGAAAGGTGGCATACGTCTTGAGCCTAAGCCAGGGAATCAGCTCTCATCTCGAGACGATTTGGGGTACACAGATCATTCCTCGAGTTGCTGTGCTGAAGTTGGTGGTCCTCTAGACTTGGGACAGTGTTCTCGGGGCATCTCTGGAGTTGCCTGAAGGAAGTCGAGCCACCGGTCGTGTTGAATGGGGAACAAGGAATGGCTCTGGAGTCAATGCAGGGGAATCCGGCCTCATCTCGAGTTGATTTGGGGCACATGGAGCTGCTTTGCATTGCTGGGTGACCTCAGGGTCCGACTAGACTGGTGACAGTGTTCTTGGGGACTGTCTCGATATCCATTAAGCAAGTCGAAGCTCCTGACTTGTTTGAATGGGATCACGGAATAGCTCTGCATGCACTGCAGGGGAATGGGGCCTCATCTCGCCTCTAGGGGGAAGTCTCATGGTTTTTCTCGAGTTGCGGCGGGGACCTGGGGTATGTTCTCGACTTACGGCGGGGATGGCCCTTCAAAACACGAGTTTCTTCCGTGACGTCAGGACTCCTGTCTAGTAACGAGGGACACCTCAGCAAACTCTTCGAGGCTTGGCAGGGCAAAAGGGACGCTTCTCGAGGTGAGCCAGGGCACCCAAGGACCCTTTCCAGTAGCCACAGGGATTTTGGGATTCCTATCAGTATTCAAGAGGAGTCAGGCATCGTCACCTTTTGAAGCAATGAACTCCGGGTGCCTCTCGAGGTGTCAGCGGGATGTGAGGATTCCGTCAAAATGAGGCAGGGACCTAGGGCTTTCTATAAGGTCTCCACAGGGGATTCAGACATCCCTTCATGTTGTGAGATGAAAGACGAGCCTGTATTCAAGCCACTGCAAGGAAATCCGTCCTCCTTTCAAGTTAGGGCTTCTCGCTGTATATTCCCCTTGAGGCAGCAAACTCGGAGTCCCTCCCACATACCTATTGCTGAGAGAAGCCTCCTCCTGAGGTGCTTCTGGAAAGGTGGCATACGTCTTGAGCCTAAGCCAGGGAATCAGCTCTCATCTCGAGACGATTTGGGGTACACGGAGCATTCCTCGAGTTGCTGTGCCGAAGTTGGTGGTCCTCTAGACTTGGGACAGTGTTCTCGGGTCATCTCTGGAGTTGCCTGAAGGAAGTCGAGCCACCGGTCGTGTTGAATGGGGAACAAGGAATGGCTTTGGAGTCAATGCAGGGGAATCCGGCCTCATCTCGAGTTGATTTGGGGCACATGGAGCTGCTTTGCATTGCTGGTTGACCTCAGGGTCCGTCTAGACTGGTGACAGTGTTCTTGGGGACTGTCTCGAGATCCATTAAGCAAGTCGAAGCTCCTGACTTGTTTGAATGGGATCAGGGAATAGCTCTGCATGCACTGCAGGGGAATGGGGCCTCATCTCGCCTCTAGGGGGAAGTCTCATGGTTTTTCTCGAGTTGCGGCGGGGACCTGGGGTATATTCTCGACTTACGGCGGGGATGGCCCTTCAAAACACGAGTTTCTTCAGTGACGTCAGGACTCCTGTCTAGTAACGAGGGACACCTCAGCAATCTCTTCGAGGCTTGGCAGGGCAAAAGGGACGCTTCTCGAGGTGAGCCAGGGCACCCAAGGACCCTTTCCAGTAGCCACAGGGATTTTGGGATTCCTATAAGTAATCAAGAGGAGTCATGCATCGTCACCTTTTGAAGCAATGAACTCCGCGTGCCTCTCGACGTGTCAGCGGGATGTGAGTATTCCGTCAAAATGAGGCAGGGACCTAGGGCTTTCTCTAAGGTCTCCACAGGGGATTCAGACATCCCTTCATGTTGTGAGATGAAAGACGAGCCTGTATTCAAGCCACTGCATGGAAATCCGGCCTCCTTTCAAGTTAGGGCTTCTCGCTGTATATTCCCCTTGAGGCAGCAAACTCGGGGTCCCTCCCACATACCTATTACTGAGAGAAGCCTCCTCCTGAGGTGCTTCTGGAAAGGTGGCATACGTCTTGAGCCTAAGCCAGGGAATCAGCTCTCATCTCGAGACGATTTGGGGTACACAGAGCATTCCTCGAGTTGCTGTGCTGAAGTTGGTGGTCCTCTAGACTTGGGACAGTGTTCTCGGGGCATCTCTGGAGTTGCCTGAAGGAAGTCGAGCCACCGGTCGTGTTGAATGGGGAACAAGGAATGGCTCTGGAGTCAATGCAGGGGAATCCGGCCTCATCTCGAGTTGATTTGGGGCACATGGAGCTGCTTTGCATTGCTGGGTGACCTCAGGGTCCGTCTAGACTGGTAACAGTGTTCTTGGGGACTGTGTCGAGATCCATTAAGCAAGTCGAAGCTCCTGACTTGTTTGAATGGGATCACGGAATAGCTCTGCATGCACTGCAGAGGAATGGGGCCTCATCTCGCCTCTAGGGGGAAGTCTCATGGTTTTTCTCGAGTTGCGGCGGGGACCTGGGGTATGTTCTCGACTTACGGCGGGGATGGCCCTTCAAAATACGAGTTTCTTCAGTGACGTCAGGACTCCTGTCTAGTAACGAGGGACACCTCAGGAATCTCTTCGAGGCTTGGCAGGGCAAAAGGGACGCTTCTTGAGGTGAGCCAGGGCACCCAAGGACCCTTGCCAGTAGCCACAGGGATTTTGGGATTCCTATAAGTAATCAAGAGGAGTCATGCATCGTCACCTTTTGAAGCAATGTACTCCGCGTGCCTCTCGAGGTGTCAGCGGGATGTGAGGCATTCCGTCAAAATGAGGCAGGGACCTAGGGCTTTCTCTAACGTCTCCACAGGGGATTCAGACATCCCTTCATGTTGTGAGATGAAAGACAAGCCTGTATTCAAGCTACTGCAAGGAAATCCGGCCTCCTTTCAAGTTAGGGCTTCGCGCTGTATATTGCCCTTGAGGCAGCAAACTCGGAGTCCCTCCCACATACCTATTGCTGAGAAGCCTCCTCCTGAGGTGCTTCTGGAAAGTTGGCATACGTCTTGAGCCTAAGCCAGGGAATCAGCTCTCATCTCGAGACGATTTGGGGTACACAGATCATTCCTCGAGTTGCTGTGCTGAAGTTGGTGTTCCTCTAGACTTGGGACAGTGTTCTCGGGGCATCTCTGGAGTTGCCTGAAGGAAGGCGAGCCACCGGTCGTGTTAAATGGGGAATGGGGAATGGCTCTGGAGTCAATGCAGGGGAATCGGGCCTCATCTCGAGTTGATTTGTGGCACCTGGAGCTGCTTTGCGTTGCTGGGGTGACCTCAGGTTCCGTCTAGACTGTTGACAGTGTTCTTGGGGACTGCCTCGAGATCCATTAAGCAAGTCGAAGCTCCTGACTTGTTTGAATGGGATCACGGAATAGCTCTGCATGCACTGCAGGGGAATGGGGCCTCATCTCGCCTCTAGGGGGAAGTCTCATGGTTTTTCTCGAGTTGCGGCGGGGACCTGGGGTATGTTCTCAACTTACGGCGGGGATGGCCCTTCAAAACACGAGTTTCTTCAGTGACGTCAGGACTCCGGCATAGTAACGAGGGACACCTCAGGAATCTCTTCGAGGCTTGGCAGGGCAAAAGGGACGCTTCTCGAGGTGACGCAGGGCACCCAAGGACCCTTTCCAGTAGCCACAGGGATTTTGGGATTCCTATCAGTATTCAAGAGGAGTCAGGCATCCTCACCTTTTGAAGCAATGAACTCCGCGTGCCTCTCGAGGTGTCAGTGGGATGTGAGGATTCCGTCAAAATGAGGCAGGGACCTAGGGCTTTCTCTAAGGTCTCCACAGGGGATTCAGACATCCCTTCATGTTGTGAGATGAAAGACAAGCCTGTATTCAAGCTACTGCAAGGAAATCCGGCCTCCTTTCAAGTTAGGGCTTCTCGCTGTATATTGCCCTTGAGGCAGCAAACTCGGAGTCCCTCCCACATACCTATTGCTGAGAAGCCTCCTCCTGAGGTGCTTCTGGAAAGTTGGCATACGTCTTGAGCCTAAGCCAGGGAATCAGCTCTCATCTCGAGATGATTTGGGGTACACAGAGCATTCCTCGAGTTGCTGTGCTGAAGTTGGTGGTCCTCTAGACTTGGGACAGTGTTCTCGGGGCATCTCTGGAGTTGCCTGAAGGAAGTCGAGCCACCGGTCGTGTTGAATGGGGAACAAGGAATGGCTCTGGAGTCAATGCAGGGGAATCCGGCCTCATCTCGAGTTGATTTGGGGCACATGGAACTGCTTTGCATTGCTGGGTGACCTCAGGGTCCGTCTAGACTGGTGACAGTGTTCTTGGGGACTGTCTCGAGATCCATTAAGCAAGTCGAAGCTCCTGACTTGTTTGAATGGGATCACGGAATAGCTCTGCATGCACTGCAGGGGAATGGGGCCTCATCTCGCCTCTAGGGGGAAGTCTCATGGTTTTTCTCGAGTTGCGGCGGAGACCTGGGGTATGTTCTCGACTTACGGCGGGGATGGCCCTTCAAAACACGAGTTTCTTCAGTGACGTCAGGACTCCTGTCTAGTAACAAGGGACACCTCAGCAATCTCTTCGAGGCTTGGCAGGGCAAAAGGGACGCTTCTCGAGGTGAGCCAGGGAACCCAAGGACCCTTTCCAGTAGCCACAGGGATTTTGGGATTCCTATCAGTATTCAAGAGGAGTCAGGCATCGTCACCTTTTGAAGCAATGAACTCCGTGTGCCTCTCGAGGTATCAGCGAGATGTGAGGCATTCCGTCAAAATGAGGTAGGGACCTAGGGCTTTCTCTAAGGTCTCCACAGGGGATTCAGACATCCCTTCATGTTGTGAGATGAAAGACAAGCCTGTATTCAAGCTACTGCAAGGAAATCTGGCCTCCTTTCAAGTTAGGGCTTCTCGCTGTATATTCCCCTTGAGGCAGCATAGTCGGAGTCCCTCCCACATACCTATTTCTGAGAAGCCTCCTCCTGAGGTGCTTCTGGAAATTTGGCATACGTCTTGAGCCTAAGCCAGGGAATCAGCTCTCATCTCGAGACGATTTGGGGTACACAGAGCATTCCTCGAGTTGCTGTGCTGAAGTTGGTGTTCCTCTAGACTTGAGACAGTGTTCTCGGGGCATCTCTGGAGTTGCCTGAAGGAAGGCGAGCCACCGTTCGTGTTGAACGGGGAACGGGGAATGGCTCTGGAGTCAATGCAGGGGAATCCGGCCTCATCTCGAGTTGATTTGGGGCACATGGAGCTGCTTTGCGTTGCTGAGGTGACCTCAGGGTCCGTCTAGACTGGTGACAGTGTTCTTGGGGACTGTCTCGAGATCCATTAAGCAAGTCGAAGCTCCTGACTTGTTTGAATGGGATCACGGAATAGCTCTGCATGCACTGCAGGGGAATGGGGCCTCATCTCGCCTATAGGGGGAAGTCTCATGGTTTTTCTCGAGTTGCGGCGGGGACCTGGGGTATGTTCTCGACTTACGGCGGGGATGGCCCTTCAAAACACGAGTTTCTTCCGTGACGTCAGGACTCCTGTCTAGAAACGAGGGACACCTCAGCAATCTCTTCGAGGCTTGGCAGGGCAAAAGGGACGCTTCTCGAGGTGAGCCAGGGCACCCAAGGACCCTTTCCAGTAGCCACAGGGATTTTGGGATTAGTATAAGTAATCAAGAGGAGTAATGCATCGTCACCTTTTGAAGCAATGAACTCCGCGTGCCTCTCGACGTGTCAGCGGGATGTGAGGATTCCATCAAAATGAGGCAGGGACCTAGGGCTTTCTCTAAGGTCTCCACAGGGGAATCAGACATCCCTTCATGTTGTGAGATGAAAGACGAGCCTGTATTCAAGCCACTGCATGGAAATCCGGCCTCCTTTCAAGTTAGGGCTTCTCGCTGTATATTCCCCTTGAGGCAGCAAACTCGGGGTCCCTCCCACATACCTATTACTGAGAGAAGCCTCCTCCTGAGGTGCTTCTGGAAAGGTGGTATACGTCTTGAGCCTAAGCCAGGGAATCAGCTCTCATCTCGAGACGATTTGGGATACACAGAGCATTCCTCGAGTTGCTGTGCTGAAGTTGGTGGTCCTCTAGACTTGGGACAGTGTTCTCGGGGCATCTCTGGAGTTGCCTGAAGGAAGTCGAGCCACCGGTCGTGTTGAATGGGGAACAAGGAATGGCTCTGGAGTCAATGCAGGGGAATCCGGCCTCATCTCGAGTTGATTTGGGGCACATGGAGCTGCTTTGCATTGCTGGGTGACCTCAGGGTCCGTCTAGACTGGTGACAGTGTTCTTGGGGACTGTCTCGAGATCCATTAAGCAAGTCGAAGCTCCTGACTTGTTTGAATGGGATCACGGAATAGCTCTGCATGCACTGCAGGGGAATGGGGCCTCATCTCGCCTCTAGGGGGAAGTCTCATGGTTTTTCTCGAGTTGCGGCGGGGACCTGGGGTATGTTCTCGACTTACGGCGGGGATGGCCCTTCAAAACACGAGTTTCTTCCGTGACGTCAGGACTCCTGTCTAGTAACGAGGGACACCTCAGCAATCTCTTCGAGGCTTGGCAGGGCAAAAGGGACGCTTCTCGAGGTGAGCCAGGGCACCCAAGGACCCTTTCCAGTAGCCACAGGGATTTTGGGATTCCTATAAGTAATCAAGAGGAGTCATGCATCGTCACCTTTTGAAGCAATGAACTCCGCGTGCCTCTCGACGTGTCAGCGGGATGTGAGTATTCCGTCAAAATGAGGCAGGGACCTAGGGCTTTCTCTAAGGTCTCCACAGGGGATTCAGACATCCCTTCATGTTGTGAGATGAAAGACGAGCCTGTATTCAAGCCACTGCATGGAAATCCGGCCTCCTTTCAAGTTAGGGCTTCTCGCTGTATATTCCCCTTGAGGCAGCAAACTCGGGGTCCCTCCCACATACCTATTACTGAGAGAAGCCTCCTCCTGAGGTGCTTCTGGAAAGGTGGCATACGTCTTGAGCCTAAGCCAGGGAATCAGCTCTCATCTCGAGACGATTTGGGGTACACAGAGCATTCCTCGAGTTGCTGTGCTGAAGTTGGTGGTCCTCTAGACTTGGGACAGTGTTCTCGGGGCATCTCTGGAGTTGCCTGAAGGAAGTCGAGCCACCGGTCGTGTTGAATGGGGAACAAGGAATGGCTCTGGAGTCAATGCAGGGGAATCCGGCCTCATCTCGAGTTGATTTGGGGCACATGGAGCTGCTTTGCATTGCTGGGTGACCTCAGGGTCCGTCTAGACTGGTAACAGTGTTCTTGGGGACTGTGTCGAGATCCATTAAGCAAGTCGAAGCTCCTGACTTGTTTGAATGGGATCACGGAATAGCTCTGCATGCACTGCAGAGGAATGGGGCCTCATCTCGCCTCTAGGGGGAAGTCTCATGGTTTTTCTCGAGTTGCGGCGGGGACCTGGGGTATGTTCTCGACTTACGGCGGGGATGGCCCTTCAAAATACGAGTTTCTTCAGTGACGTCAGGACTCCTGTCTAGTAACGAGGGACACCTCAGGAATCTCTTCGAGGCTTGGCAGGGCAAAAGGGACGCTTCTTGAGGTGAGCCAGGGCACCCAAGGACCCTTGCCAGTAGCCACAGGGATTTTGGGATTCCTATAAGTAATCAAGAGGAGTCATGCATCGTCACCTTTTGAAGCAATGTACTCCGCGTGCCTCTCGAGGTGTCAGCGGGATGTGAGGCATTCCGTCAAAATGAGGCAGGGACCTAGGGCTTTCTCTAAGGTCTCCACAGGGGATTCAGACATCCCTTCATGTTGTGAGATGAAAGACAAGCCTGTATTCAAGCTACTGCAAGGAAATCCGGCCTCCTTTCAAGTTAGGGCTTCTCGCTGTATATTGCCCTTGAGGCAGCAAACTCGGAGTCCCTCCCACATACCTATTGCTGAGAAGCCTCCTCCTGAGGTGCTTCTGGAAAGTTGGCATACGTCTTGAGCCTAAGCCAGGGAATCAGCTCTCATCTCGAGACGATTTGGGGTACACAGATCATTCCTCGAGTTGCTGTGCTGAAGTTGGTGTTCCTCTAGACTTGGGACAGTGTTCTCGGGGCATCTCTGGAGTTGCCTGAAGGAAGGCGAGCCACCGGTCGTGTTAAATGGGGAATGGGGAATGGCTCTGGAGTCAATGCAGGGGAATCGGGCCTCATCTCGAGTTGATTTGTGGCACCTGGAGCTGCTTTGCGTTGCTGGGGTGACCTCAGGTTCCGTCTAGACTGTTGACAGTGTTCTTGGGGACTGCCTCGAGATCCATTAAGCAAGTCGAAGCTCCTGACTTGTTTGAATGGGATCACGGAATAGCTCTGCATGCACTGCAGGGGAATGGGGCCTCATCTCGCCTCTAGGGGGAAGTCTCATGGTTTTTCTCGAGTTGCGGCGGGGACCTGGGGTATGTTCTCAACTTACGGCGGGGATGGCCCTTCAAAACACGAGTTTCTTCAGTGACGTCAGGACTCCGGCATAGTAACGAGGGACACCTCAGGAATCTCTTCGAGGCTTGGCAGGGCAAAAGGGACGCTTCTCGAGGTGACGCAGGGCACCCAAGGACCCTTTCCAGTAGCCACAGGGATTTTGGGATTCCTATCAGTATTCAAGAGGAGTCAGGCATCCTCACCTTTTGAAGCAATGAACTCCGCGTGCCTCTCGAGGTGTCAGTGGGATGTGAGGATTCCGTCAAAATGAGGCAGGGACCTAGGGCTTTCTCTAAGGTCTCCACAGGGGATTCAGACATCCCTTCATGTTGTGAGATGAAAGACAAGCCTGTATTCAAGCTACTGCAAGGAAATCCGGCCTCCTTTCAAGTTAGGGCTTCTCGCTGTATATTGCCCTTGAGGCAGCAAACTCGGAGTCCCTCCCACATACCTATTGCTGAGAAGCCTCCTCCTGAGGTGCTTCTGGAAAGTTGGCATACGTCTTGAGCCTAAGCCAGGGAATCAGCTCTCATCTCGAGATGATTTGGGGTACACAGAGCATTCCTCGAGTTGCTGTGCTGAAGTTGGTGGTCCTCTAGACTTGGGACAGTGTTCTCGGGGCATCTCTGGACTTGCCTGAAGGAAGTCGAGCCACCGGTCGTGTTGAATGGGGAACAAGGAATGGCTCTGGAGTCAATGCAGGGGAATCCGGCCTCATCTCGAGTTGATTTGGGGCACATGGAACTGCTTTGCATTGCTGGGTGACCTCAGGGTCCGTCTAGACTGGTGACAGTGTTCTTGGGGACTGTCTCGAGATCCATTAAGCAAGTCGAAGCTCCTGACTTGTTTGAATGGGATCACGGAATAGCTCTGCATGCACTGCAGGGGAATGGGGCCTCATCTCGCCTCTAGGGGGAAGTCTCATGGTTTTTCTCGAGTTGCGGCGGAGACCTGGGGTATGTTCTCGACTTACGGCGGGGATGGCCCTTCAAAACACGAGTTTCTTCAGTGACGTCAGGACTCCTGTCTAGTAACAAGGGACACATCAGCAATCTCTTCGAGGCTTGGCAGGGCAAAAGGGACGCTTCTCGAGGTGAGCCAGGGAACCCAAGGACCCTTTCCAGTAGCCACAGGGATTTTGGGATTCCTATCAGTATTCAAGAGGAGTCAGGCATCGTCACCTTTTGAAGCAATGAACTCCGTGTGCCTCTCGAGGTATCAGCGAGATGTGAGGCATTCCGTCAAAATGAGGCAGGGACCTAGGGCTTTCTCTAAGGTCTCCACAGGGGATTCAGACATCCCTTCATGTTGTGAGATGAAAGACAAGCCTGTATTCAAG